GCCTCAAAAAAAAAAAAAAAAAAAAGAAAAAGAAAAGAAAAGAAAAGAAAAGAAAGAAAGAAAAATTAGCTCGCCATGGTGGCACGTACCTGTAGTCCTAGCTACTTGAGAGGCTGAAGCAGGAGGATTGCTTGAGCTCAGAAGTTTGAGGTTGCAATGAGCTATGATACCACTGCATTCCAGCCCAAGTGACAGTGACTCTATCTCAAAAAAGAAAAAAAAAAAACAGAGAGAGAGAGAGATTGGATCAGGTTAAATTAAATTAAATCTAGTGGCTCAGTGCCTGTAGCTCAAGCGGCTAAGGTGCCAATGCCAGCCACATATACCAAGGCTGGCAGGTTCGAATCTAGCCCGGGCCTGCCAAACAACAATGACAATTACAACCATAACATAGCCAGGCATCGTGGCGGGTGCCTGTATTCCCAGCTACTTGGGAGGCTGAGGCAAGAGAATCGCTAAAGCCCAAGAGTTAGAAGTTGCTGTGAGCTGCAAAGCCACAGCATTCTACCCAGAGTAACACCTTGAGGCTCTGTCTCAAAAAATTAAAATAAATAATTAATTAAACCTAGTTAAATTCATCTGAGGCTTTCCATCTCTCTCACTGAGAACAATCCAGATTCCAGATTCTTCCCTGGACCTACATAAGGATGTGACCCTTGGCTGGCTCCCTGTTCTTGCTGCTAACTCCCCTTCATATATGCCACCCCAACTGGGCTGGCCTGGGCTGGCTTCTTTCAGTGTCCAGATAAGTTTCTGCTTCTTCAAGGCCTTTGCACATGCTGTTCTTTGTCAGAAAGTCACTTCTCCCAGCTCTTTTTATTTTTCATTTTTTATTTTTTTGAGACAGAGTCTTATTTTGTTGCCCTCGGTAGAGTGCCATGGCATCACAGCTCATAGCAACCTCAAACTCTTGGGCTTAAGCCATTCTCTTACCTCAGCCTCCTGGGGTAGCTGGGACTACAGGTGCCCACCATAATGCCCAACTATTTTTAGAGGCAAGGTCTTGCTCTGGCTCAAGCTGGTCTCAAACTGGTGAGCTCAGGCAATCTACCCGCCTCAGCTTCCCGGAGTGCTAGGATTACAGGTGTGAGCCACCTCACCTGGCCATTTTTAAGGATTTTTAAATAGCATTGGAATGGACCAGAGAGATGACCTTGTAAGTTGGTCCTTCAGTGTTATTAATAGGGCTGCTGGAGCACAGAGAGGTTAAGGAGTTAACAAAGGTTACATAGAACCCAGTGTTGTGTAGTTCTGGGTTCTGTTGGCCATATCTCACAGGCTTTTCTCCCTTAAATGTGTGCAGTAAGGATCAAATCATCAAGTGAATATGATTAGATGAGCATTAAAATAAAAAACAACGATGTAAGTGACAGCTCTGATTTTCAGTAACTTTCTATTGTTAGAGACAGGTCAGTCTTTTTATCTTCATTTCTTATTCCTTGGCCTCTTTGTCTCGTTCCCAGAGCTGAGCTGCATCTCTGGATGCTCTGGGAAGGCTGATCATTTGACAGCTTCAAAGGGACATGTTGTAAATTATTTATAGAGTTAATGTGGAGAATGATTTCTCTATTAAGGAAAATTATATTCTTCTTTATGTTTAAAATGAGACAATTTCATGTATTTGTTTCATGTGATTTTCCAAACAGTTTTCTGGAAGGTATCTTAAAACAAAATATGTAGGTGATACAAAGTCTTACCATTTTAGTTTCCGTATTTCAGCTGAGTCACTTGGTACTTGTGGCAGCTGTCCATGGGCCAGGCTAAGGCTTGGTGTATAGCACCTGTGATATGGTGTTTGGCATCAGACCTTCTGGGCTACATCTCTCCTGTCACTTGTGAGCAGTGTGGTGACTTTGCACTTGCTTAGGCTTTGCTCAGCCCAGCATCCTGTTGATGGCATGAGCTCTGGGGTGGTGGAACCTCCCTGGATGCTCTAGTGGCCCTCTGGTGTCTTTTATCTGAAGGGGTATCTAAGGCCCAGCCAAGTCCCTGAACTGCTAGAAAATCTGGCCATTTGCAGAGATAGGATAACTGCTTCATGGGAGCTGTGTCTGTGAGGTGGGAGGTCAAGTGTTAGCCCTCAAGTACCTGGCTGGCTGGGGAGAGCTCAAAGGCTCCCAGGAAGAGGCTGGCCTTGAACTCTTCAGACCCAGCTGCCAGAGTGTCCCTGGAGGGTGAAAAGTGTAAGAGCGCCCACCTTGACCAAGGCTCATAGGCACTGGTCATTTACACCAAACGGTTAACAGTATGGATTCTAGAGGCAAATCCCTGAGTTCAAATCCCAGTCTCTCTGCCTCAGTTTCCTCATCTGTAACATGTACCTGCTGTGAGGGTAAGTGAGCTTAAAATGCACAGGTGCATAGTAAATACTAGCTAAGGGTTTCTGGCTCTTTCCTTGTGTTATCTCAGGAGTCCAGAGCTGCTCTCATCTCTGTTTTAAAGATGTGGAAATCGAGGCAGGGGCATTTAAGTGACTTACTCCAAAATGCACAAAGTTTGGAGAGCCCAGATTTAAAGCCAGGTGGTCTGAGCTGTGCCACCCCATCCTCCCACCACTTCTTGGTGAGAGGCAGGTAGATGACAGGTACAAGTGACCAAAAGGTTCAGCTTCATGGTGAGGAGTGTGGTTCTAGGCTGAAGCCCCGTGGCTTCCCCATCAGATGACTGGAAGGACCAAGAAGTTGGTAGGAAACCTCGGTAGGTGGTCAAGCCAGGGAAATAGGGAAAAAGTGAACAATAGCAGCTGCCATTTGCTGATGGCTTTTTTTTTTTTTTGGAGACGGAGCCTCGAGCTATCCCCCTGGGTAGAGTGCCATGGTATCACAGCTCATCGCAACCTCCAACTCCTGGGCTCAAGCGAGTCTCCTGCCTCCGCCTCCCAAGTAGCTGGGACCACAGGCGCCCACCACAACGCCCTGCCATTTTTTTAGTTGCAGCCATCATTGTTGTTTGGCGGGCCCAGGCTGGGGATTCGAACCCGCCACCTTAGGTGTATGTGGCTGGCGCCTTAGCCGCTTGAGCCACAGGCACCGAGCCGCTGATGGCTTTTAAATCTGAGTTTAGTGATGTAAAACAATAACCATTTTGTTATTGCTCTTGGGTCTGTAGTTTGACTGGGCTCAGCCGGGTGGTTCTATTGGTCTCTGCATTTGCAATCTGATGGCTGGAGATGCAGTCATCTGGAGGCTTGACTGGGACAGCTCCCTGTGGTCCCCACCTGGGTTCTCCATGTAGCTTCTCCAGTAGGGTAGCCAGACTTTTTATGTGGCAGCCAGGGCTCCCCAAAGTGTGAAGGTGAAAGCTATCAGCCCTCCTAAGATTTATGCCTAGAACTGGCACAGCATCCCTTCTGCTTGCTCTCCTGTTAGCTAACCAGATCCAAGTCCACACCAGAATCAAGAGCCAAAGAAATGAACTCTACCTATCCATGCATGGGTAATGACAAAGAATTTGAAACTGTATTTAATCTACTCTTCTTCTGGGTCAGATAGTGTGCAAAGAACTTTGCTAGCTTACTGTAATTTATTCTTCCCACCAGTCCTATGAGGTGGCCAGTCTTAATACTCCCATTTCCCAGATAGAGGCTCTGAGACAGTTTCAGTAATTGTCTCCAAGTCACATACAGTTGTGAGCAATGGTGTTGGAATTGAAGCCCAGGAGGTCTGGCCCCAGAAGATCTGGGGAGGTCTGTGGCAGGCCTTTGTCAAGAAAGATAGACCCCGCTCAGTGGTGATCCGTGTACTGATGAGATCTTTTTCTTGAGTAGCCAAGATGCCCCAAACACGGGTGACTATTCGGACGGTGCGAGTCCGCAGGCCTCCCAAGGGGAAGCACCGGAAATTCAAGCATACGCATGACAAGAAGGCACTGAAGGAGACCCTTGGAGCCTAGGGGCATCGGCAAGAGAGTGTGGGCAGGTGAGAGCCAGATGGGGAAACTGAGGCCCAGAACCCTGTGTTTCCTTCTCCTCAGCCTGTGGAAGGGATTTGGGGAGACACATTTTCCCACACAAAATCCAGACTCTTCCTGGAGTATGGGAGTTCTTCTGTGGGACAGGTAGGGTGGTGGGCTTTGGAGACCCCAGCCCTATTGTGTCCCAGCATCCCTAAGGGAATAGGAGTGAGATCTCAACCTCACTTCTTCCCCACCCATTTCAACTCCCCAGCCCTGAGCACTGCTAGACATCAGAGCTGGCTGTCTGACCTCCAGCTCCTTGCCCTTGGAATGGGGGAGGGGAGCATATATGAATGGGATGGATCCCTAAGCTATCTCTGACCCCCTGTGTCCCTCTGCTTGGCCTGCAGGGTTATTTAATATGGTATTTGCTGTATTGCCCCCATGGGGTCCTTGGAGTGATAATATTGTTCCCCTCGTCCGTCTGTCTCGATGCTGATTCGGACGGCCAATGGTGCTTCCCCTACCCTGCCACGTGTCCGTCCACCCCTCCATCTGCGGGTCTCCCCCCAGCGGCTTCCAGAGTCTTGCCCAGCAGTTCAAGAAGGAAAAGAAGAACTGAACACCATCTCTGTCTTCCTCCCTTGACCCTGAGAATCTGGGATAAGAGTGCAAGAAAAACTGATGGGGTCCCTTCCCCTACACCGGGCCTGGCCCAGGGAGCCCTGCACGTGCCCTGAGGACTTTTCGTCATGGCCTGCCTGGTCCCTGGAGTCCTAGCCAACTCTGAGGAGGAGCACCTCCAGGCAGGCTGGGGTACCTTGTACTCCATGGCTACGACCTCAGACTGGAGCACAGACCAGAGAAAACCCCCTCCCATGGCGCCCAGTCCCCCAGTCACTTCCTCTCTCTGGTCACCTCTGCTCACAGTGGCTTCTTTCCATTTGATGCATATGAAATCTTTGAAGATGTGGACTCCTCTAGGTGGGTGTGCCCAGAGTGTCAGGTGACTGAGTTCCGTCTCAGATGGGTTAGAGATGAAGTTTGCTCTTGGGGTGGGCACAAATGGAGACCTGGGCATCCCCTGCCTCTCACCTCTGCTCAACCCCGATTCACTTCCTCCTCTGTTTCCTCTTATCTCTCTACCTCTACCTGTGTCCTCTTGTCTGGCCCTTTAGTTCACTCCACCAAGGGGCTCTTGGACCTCTTCCTGAGGCCCCAAATGACCCCAGTCACTTCCCCCTAGGGCAGAAGACCAGGGGAGCAGGGGACCTGCCCATCATCCCAACCCAGCCAAGACTGCCATGTAAGGTTGTACAGGGTGTACACTGCACAAGGGCACTGTATACGGGGAGCACTGTTTACACCATACATGTGGCCAGTTTGTATATTTATTATGACAGTTTCTGGCAGATGTAGGTAAAGTGTCTGAGGAAAGGGATCTTTTTTCTAATTCACATAAAGGCTCCCTGTGAACAATCTGTGCCCCTGACCCAGCCTAGGGATTGGAGTGGTCAGAGAGGAGTGGGTCCATGGTGTGTGGGGAGGCAATGCTGTTGTCCATCGGGCCTCCCTTTCCCAGAGTCCACTGCTTCAGCAGTCCCCTTTCTAGGCAGGTGTGAGAAACCCCGGAGAATGTCTCCAAGGGAGGGGACAGCCCCACTCACCCCACCCCCTCCCCACTTGCACACTCCCCCCATCTTAAATCCTTTCCACCTCTGGTGGCTTCTCCCAGGGAACCAGCTCCTGGACTGGGGGGTGGGGAGAGAAGGGATAAGATCCCCAAGGCCCGTTAGGTGTGGGGTCTGAGCTGCCTGTCTCCTTCCCCTCTCCCTCCTCTAAACTCGGCTTCCTTCAGTTTGTAAAGTCGGTGATTATATTTTTGGGGGCTTTCCTTTTATTTTTTAAATGTAAAATTTATTTATATTCCGTATTTAAAGTTGTAAAAAAAAATAACCACAAAACAAAACGAAACGAATGCGCCGGAGGTCTGTCTGTTGGCATCGTGTGTGACAATTAACCTTTCTGCGTTGGCAGGATGTGCCGACAGCTTGCTACATGTTCCTCTCGCTCTGAGAGGCTCAGGCGCGATCACACACTCTTGCGCGCACACACACACTCACACATGCACGCACATACCCGCAGGCCTGGAGCTTTGAGGGAGGAAGGGACACACAGCCCACTCTGTTGGTCTTGGTCCTAAAGTAGCCCCTAACACATGGACCCCAGGCCCAGACCCAAGCTGTTGCTGGGGCTGCTGAGAGATGGATTTCCCCTGCCCAAGGGTTTCCACAAGGGAGGTGGAGTCTCAGCATCACTGCGGTGGGGGGTTGCTGGTAGTGGGGAGGAAGATCCGTATGGGGAAGGCTGGAGGAGGTCGCAGAGGGGCTGTGGGATTTAGAGAGAAGCAGCTGAAAGTTGGGTCAGGGGTTTGGTCTTGGCTCAGGCCTTTGCCAGCTTCATGACCTTGAACATGTCACAACCACTTTGGCCAGAACCTCATCTGAAACATGAAAGAAAGAGAAGAGACTCACAGCCTCCAGGCTCTGGGGTTCTCTGCTTCCTCTTGCTCATGAAGACTTGGGTACCAGCCCGTAATAAAATGCTGAATGTGTTCTGGGTCCCACCTGCGGATGCAACATGGACTGGGCTGACGGGGTCCAGGGGATGAAGCATTTAACTGATGAAAATGGTTACTACAGTAACTATTTACAACTTTGTCCCTGGAAATAGTGAATTCCCTGTCACTGAAAGTGTGTAAGGGGAAGCTGGGTGGCAACTTGGCTGAGGTTAGACTGAATAACATTTGGGCTCCCCACAACTGATTGACTCATTCGTTCACTCATGTACTTAAACCCCTACCATGTGCCTGTCACTACCAGGAGCTTTTGGAATAATTTGATTTCAATTCATCCTAGGACCCTCAGCTCTGCCCTTGAGAAAGTGGAGTCTACCCATGGTGGTGGTGGGCTGTGCAGACTGGAGGGACTTACCTAGAAATTCCCACCCCTGCCTGCCCACCTGACTGTATAGAACCCTCCCCTCTCCCCTAAATCTCCAGCGGTCTCAGTTCCCCAGGGCACAAGAAGAGGATCTGGCTGGGAGGAGAGAAGACAGCTCCACCAGGACATGGAAGCTAGCAGGGAGCTGGAGAGCCCAGCAGGGCTGTCCAGTGGATGGTCACAGTAACTTTCCAAGCACAGCTGCAGGCATCTCTCCTCTCCGTGTGCCAACTCAGGCAGTGGCACTACAGAGTCCGTGGGCCTTTGGGGGCCTGCTTGGCCTTCCCTAGCTTTTTTTTTTTTTTTTTTTT